TTTTGGGGGGGGGGGGGTCCAAACATGGGGGAGAAAAAACGGTTCGGAAGACTAAGGTGGAAATTAGAAGCCAACGAGGAAAAATCTTTTTTATCAAGAAATATCTTTTTGAATAAATTCCAAATGTATTCATGATAAATACAGTTTGGCCAAGCCAAGGTAGGAAACACTGCAGAATCTCTCACACACTCGCTTGATGTCGTCGCGGCGCATTTCTCTTCTCATGTCGCGCAGACGTCCGGCAAACATGAGTGAGAAAAAACGGTTCGGAAGACTAAGGTGGAAATTAGAAGCCAACGAGGAAAAATCTTTTTTATCAAGAAATATCTTTTTGAATAAATTCCAAATGTATTCATGATAAATACAGTTTGGCCAAGCCAAGGTAGGAAACACTGCAGAATCTCTCACACACTCGCTTGATGTCGTCGCGGCGCATTTCTCTTCTCATGTCGCGCAGACGTCCGGCAGCAAGAGCGGCTCTGGGGACTGAGGTGTGAGGCCCCGGAGCAGGCCCGCGTCAAAGAGGAGGCGCCGTCGCCGCCCGGCGTCAAACGGGAAGAGGAGGAGCCTGAGTCCTCCCGCGTCAAAGAGGAAGAGGAAGAACGCAGCATCGGTCAGGAAACGGACGCCGGCAAAGCCGCCGTCGCGCCGAAGAGTGAAGACGGCGGCGGCGGCGAGGAGAAGCTCGCGGCGCCGCCCTCGGACGCGCCCCCGCCGTCTTCCCGCTCTGGAGACGAAGACGAGGACGACTCCAAAGGGGGCGCGAGGAGCGCCCGAGCCTTCAGGTGCTGCCAGTGCGCCAAAGCGTTTGGCAGCAAGAGCAACCTGAAGCGCCACGTGGGCTGCCACACCGGAGAAAAACCTTTTGGCTGCTCGGCGTGCGGCAAGCGGTTCTCTCAAAAGGGAATCCTGATGCGGCACGCCCGCACGCACACGGGAGAAAAACCCTTCAGCTGCCCCTTCTGCGCCAAAAGCTTCTCCGTGAAGGGAAACCTGCTGACGCACACCCGCATCCACACCGGCGAGAAACCCTTCTCGTGCTCGGCGTGCGGCGCCCGCTTCACTGTCCGCTCGGCGCTGGTGCAGCACGTGAGGACGCACACCGGAGAGAGACCCTTTGCCTGCTCCTTTTGCGGGAAAACCTTCTCCCAGAAAGTCAGCCTGATGACGCACTTGAGAAGACACACGGGGGAGAAGGTGTTCCGATGCCGCGCGTGCGACCGCGCCTTCGCTCACAAGTATCAGCTCGACAAACACCCGTGTGCCGGCGCCAACGGCGTAACGTTGTCCGACCCCTGACGCCGGGAGTGTGTGGGGACCGTGACGTCGCACTGGGTTCCACAGCGGCAGTCGGCGAGAGTCCGACGGCGTGCGAACCCCACCGGAACTCCTTCCGGTGAAACGCTCTCACACGCAACCGACTGTTCTTCACTCGCACCCTCTCCTCGAAACAGTTCAAGGCAGCGTTCGGTTGACGATATCGGCGCAATTTCAGGGTGATGTGTCAAAGGTTTTCCATCATGTGCGACTGACTCGTGTTTGACTTGATTATGTGAGCCGACCAAAAATCGGCGTTTGTGTCAAGAGCGCGAATAAAAAGCGTTTCACTTGCATCTGCATAAAATCCGTAGTGTGGCCGACAGAGCGTTTCGCTTGCGCTTGTGAGCAAAAATAAATAAATGAAAAATAGAGAATTTTTTTCACTCGCCTTCAAAAGTGCCCAACTCCGCTGAAGACCACTGAAACGTGCATTTCAGGATGACGTGCGAAAAGCTTTTCAGTCGCGTGCGTAACAGCGTTGCGCTGACCCGGACAAAAACATTTGCAAAATCCGTGTGAGAGCGTTTCACTCGTGCGAGACAAAAAAAGTTAAAAATCAGCGTGAGAGTGTCTGGCACGCCAGCGACCCTCGTGAGGGTGAGCAGATTGGAGGATGGTTGGATGGCACCATTCGCACAATACACAAGAATGCATTATTTATTGATATCGCGCCCCCTTTTTGTACAAGACAATTCAAAGTGCTTTTCATAAAACGTTCAAAGCGTCACAGAAAGAGGAAGAACATGAAATACGAGCAGTTCACCACGGTGCGCCGGTAGCCTGGTGCGGTTGGTTCAAAAGACGGCCCAAGTGCAATGATCAATGCGGCCGATAGATGGCGGCGGCCCCACTACATTGAGCTTATTTTTCTCTTGAGTACAGTAATCCCTCGTTTATCGCGGTTAATGGGGACCAAAACCACCCACGATAAACGAAAATCCGCGAAGTAGCGTCCAATTAACAAACAGGTAAAAAAAA